GGGGGGGGAACTCTCAGCCCCCCGTCTTCTTTTCTTTTTTTTCGTTAATTAGAGCCCTCAGCTTCAGGGTCAACGGCAAGTGTTCCTTTTTTTTTTTTTTTCCTTGAAGGGCCAGTTTCTATATTTTGTTCATATGTTCATATTGGTTCATATGTCTTTTATTTTATTTGTTAAGCATTTAGTATTTTATATTAAAATAAAATACGACATTTTCTTCTCTCAATACCTTTCACTATCTAGCTACCACTACTCCTAAAAGCCTATACAGGGGACCCCTGCAAGCATAGCTACCTGTCACAATTAAGGGGATGCATGTTTATTCAGCTTATGCAAACAAACAAGCATAATTACATTAACTGATATTTTTAAATCCTCTTTATATTTTTCGATAACTGATCACAAAAAATATTCATTTTATGCATCCACCACCAGTCGCACTCCGTTTTCTTGTTTTTTCCCTCTTCATTTTTTCCTTCGGCATGGTGGCAATCCAATCAAAATACCTTGTTCGATTTTCAAAAAATAAAATTAAAAAAATCAATACCTCGTCAAAAAAAAAAAAAAAAAAAACTTGTCACAGAAAAAAACAAAAACCATTACCACTTATCACAGCCGCAACGCGAGAATCGTCACTGTCAGGATGTATCTAAGCGCGTAGTCGGCCATTGGCACGATCTGTACGTGGACGTGCAGACATCCAGATACATTCTAACACTACAGCAATCTTAGAAAATTTCGACCACCAAAAAAAAAACACGAGAGTGATCCAGATACTTTTTTTTTTTTTTTAATCCAGATACATTCTAACACTACGGCAAAATTTCGACCACCAAAAAAAACAGAAAACAAAAAAAGTGATAAGGGCCCAGGCACCTTCCTCCCTCCCTCCCTCCTCCCTCCTCCCTCTTACCCAGCCCATCCCTATCACAGCGAGAGCGCCAGAATCGTCACTGTCAGGATGTATCTAAGCGCGTAATCGGCCATGAGCATGATCTGTACGTGGACGTCCAGACAATCCGGCTACATTCTAACACTCTGAGAATCTTGGAAAAACTCAGCCACAGAAAGACGAAAAAAGAAGAAGTGTGGATGTAATAAGTGATACCCCCTCTCCTTCTTTCAGCCCCCCCCCCCCCATTTCAAGCAAAGAAGCTTTCTTACACTGAGGGCATACTCACACTATCGACTTTTGGACGTGTTCGCGGTCAGATGCATTCAGGTCCGTCCGTAGTTGCGGTCGAATACATTTACAAAAGTTCTACTGTGAGTATGCCCTGAGTCTCGCCCCCCCTTGTCATCACAAGCCCATTTGTGCAAAACAAAGACAATTTGCATTTCAGG